GGGGAAGAGGGAGGATGGCCTCACCTTGGTGCTACAGGGACTGCATGACAGGAGAAGAAAGAGCCCAGATACCTGCCCCTGCCCTGCATGGAGCTCTCAATGCACCCATGATGAGATTGGAAGCTCCAGGCTGCTTTTCTGGGCTGCCTTGGTGCTGGGTTGATGCTGTGTCGGGTCCATAGGCTCATACCTGCCTTCCCACCAGGCTGATGTACTGGTCAGAGGTGGGGAGCCACTCACGGCTGATGGAGGCCAGCATGGATGGGAGTTGGCGGCACGTGCTGCTGGCCCAGGGACTGGGCTGGCCCACAGCACTGGCCCTCGACCTCCCCACCCAGAGGATCTTCTGGCTGGATGAGAAGCTGGGCAGTGTCGGTTCTGCACGTCTGGATGGCAGCAGTGTGAAGGTGTGGTGGGGCACTGGTGATGGGCTCTGATGGGGACCAGGATGGGCTCTGACAACCTCTCTGACAGGTCCTGAAGCTGCACTGGGTCCGGAGCCCCTTTGCAGCGGCTGTGTGCGAGGGGCAGCTCTACTGGTCAGAGAGGAAGACATGGTCTGTGCAGCAGGTGGACAAGGCCAGCGGCAAGAACAGGACCGTGCTGCTCAAACGGCACGGGCAGCCCCATGGCCTCCAGGTACCTTCTTGGGGAAACCCAAGCCCTGCTGTGGCAGCTCTGCTGATCTCCCATCCTACACAGTACTGCTGTCTCTGAGCGAAGAGGCACTGGGAGCTATAGCCCCATCCCAGTGGTCTTTGAGCAGCAGTCTCTGTGGCCAAGTGTCTCTGGTCCCTGGGACCATCTCTGCCTCACCATCCTGCCCTGAGCTGGGCTGTGTGTGCGCCCTGGAAGCACAGTGTGCTGTCAGTCGTGCTCAGCTCTGCCAGTGCGTGCTGACGGAGCTGAGGCTGAGCCCGCTGTCCCACAGGTGATGCACCCAGCCCTGCGCCCCGCGGCCCCCAACCCGTGTGAGGCACGCGGCTGCTCCCACCTGTGCCTCCTGAGCACCAGGCACACGGGGCAGTGCCGCTGCCCTGCCGGGCTGATGCTGGCCGCCAACGAGACCACCTGCCTGCCCATCCGTGATTCAGCCTTTGCCCTCCTGGTGTCACCAGCAGCTGTGGCACAGGTACCGCCCTCTGGAGCCAGCCCTGGGGGCTGCTGTTCTTGCCACTGTCAGGGAAGAGGGGTCCACATCCTAGTGCTGCCTCCTTCCTCTAGGTCTACCTGAAGGACCTGCCCACATCAGCTGGATCCCAAGGGCTTCCCCCACACCGGGCCCTGCCTTTGGCCAAGGTGAGCCGCCTGACAGCAGTTGACTACGCAGTGAAAGACAAGAGTTTGTACTTCGCAGAAGTGGGAGGCAATTCCATTGGACTGCTGCGTCTGAAGGACTGGGGACGGCTGTCCTGGAAGAAGGCAGTAGCTGTGGAGGGCACGGTGACATCCCTGGCCTTGGACTGGCTGAGTGGGAACCTTTACTGGATTGGGGGGCAGCCACCCACCATCCATGTGGCAGCTCCCAGGGGGCGGTGGGTCCTGGCACTACTCAGCGAGGGGCTGCAGGGTGCTGCCTGGCTGGCACTGTGTCCTCGTGCTTCCACCATGTGCTTTGTCACAGCAGCTGGCAGCCGTGGACGTGGCGCCGTGGTGGAGTGTGCGGCCATGGACGGCACTGGCCGCAGAGCGGTCTGGAGGAGAGCCCGGGCTCCCACTGGCCTTGCCTTTGGGGGTGCTGGCACCAGGCTGTACTGGGCAGACCAGGGTGAGTGAGGATGGAGCCGGGGCACTGCGGGGCGGTAGCAGTGGTGCAGGCACTCAGTCTGCAAAGCACAGCCTGGCACAGCTCTGAGGGGCAGCCTGGAGCCCTCTCTGTCACCACACTGAAGCCTCTCCCACCTGTGCCTTGTAGAGCGAGGAACCATCAGCAGTGTTGAGCTGGATGGATCCCGCTTCCAGCTGGTGCGGGAAGGGCTGCATGGTCTCTCACTCTTTGCCGTAGGAGAAGGCTTTCTGCTCTGGAGCACAACCTCAACCAATGGTAGGTCTGTCTGCTGTGCTTTGCCCAGCTCCTCCTACTGCACTAGGACATGGGTTCTGCCAGTCCCCATGGGGTGCAGGCTTGCCCCTCTGTGGGGTCAAGGGCAAGTTAGCGGACCCCCCCACCTCCCAGCTCAGGCACCCTTGTGGGAGGAGGTGGAGCAGTGCTGACCCCATGTGTCTCCAGGCTCCAGCAAGATCTGGCACAGCCGGCTGGAGCAGGCTGAGAACTGGTGGTTCCCGATGGAGCAGGAGCTGGTAGCCATGAGGATTTACAGCCAGTTCTCACAGGAAGGTGGGTCTGGGACTGCCCCAGCCCAGGGCATCTGCGGGGTTCAGCTGTGCCTTGCGGTGGCTGTGCTAACCAGCGCTGTTTTGGCAGGCACCAATGGCTGTGCAAAGAGCAATGGGGGCTGTGCCCAGCTCTGCCTGCCCAACCCTGCAGGGCGGCAGTGCCGCTGCTCTCCTGGGTACCACCTGGTGCACGGGGCAGCGTGTGCGCTGGCACCGCCTTGCCCCGCCCCGCTGCAGGCCTGCCCCGACCTCCAGAGCTGCATCTCCAGACAGCAGGTCTGTGATGGGCGCCCCGACTGTGCCGATGGCTCCGATGAGTCTGACTGTGAGTGCCCACCCACAGCCTGGCGTGCCAGGGTCCTGGGCATGGGACAGCCTGCCCAGGCTCGCCCACTTTGGCAAGGGGTCTTACCTGAGTCTCTGCTGATCCATGCCCATCCCTCCAGGCACCTCAGTGAAGGTGGGGACGCAGATCCCTGCAGTGGCACCATCAGGAATGTCCCACGTAGAACAGGAACCATCCATAGCTGCACCCCAGCCTCGGCAGCCTCACCCCAGCCTATCTGCAGCCCCTGGCCCCCAGGAGCACAGAGAGCCCTTCGTGGTGCCTCCCAGCACGGAGGAGGTGCTGGGGGCTGTGCCCTGCAGCAGCGAGACGTGCAACCTGCGCGGGGACTGTGCCATCGAGGCTGGCCGAGTGATGTGCCACTGCGCCCTGGGCTATCGTGGCAACTACTGCGAGGAGGCCGAGGTGCAGCCCCTGGCAGGACCCATTGTGCTGGGGGTGGCCGTGCTCCTGCTGCTGGCTGCTGCTGCTGTGGGGGCCCTGGCCTACATGCGGAGGCGGGACAGGCGGAGGAGGTGAGCGCTGGGGCTGCACTGGGCCGGGTACAGCTGGAAATAGAGAGGGACAGGGTCTCCTTGCCCAGGGACAGTGTGGAGTTCTGATGCACTCCTGGGTTATATGGGAAGCTGCAATCACCCCAGCAGGCTGTTAGCAGGGGTTGTGGTAGGACTTTGGGATCTGCCCCTTCTCTAGGAGTTGGCCATGCCATTCTCGGTGTGCATTTTTCCCTCTCCAGGACCTCGAGCACTGCTTCCACTCGGGTGCTGACCCTGTACCACCGTGAAAGTGATCCAGAGGAAGAGGATGAGGAGGAGGAAGAGCTTCCCCCCAAGAGTGATACATTTGTGAATGAAGCTTATGAAGGGAAAGAGGTGAGTAGCATCTGGAGCAGGCCCTGCTAAGGACCCCACTGCCACCCTGCAGTGCCCCAGGGCCCAGTGCTGGCATGGTGCCCACTCCCGAAGCAAGCTCTGCCCTCCTGCTGAAGGAGAGGGGCAAGACCAATGGTGCCTGGAGTCTGACAGGGCTGTCCCACTCTGCCTGTGGCAGAGTCCCACACCCTGTGCTAAGGTGTGGGGTGGGCTTAGAGAGGTTGGGTCAGACTCACCCCTGATACACCCATCTGTGATTTCTGCAGGAGCTGCCAGCCCTGCTGAGGAAAGGACCATCTCACATCAACACCATAATTTCATAAAGCAACATTGTGCAGCATCTCTTGTGCCTTTGTGGTTTGTGTGTGGGCTGGGGAGGGGAGATTGGTTTGCTCTTTCTAGGTGTCTAAGACCTAGGGAACGAACGTAACAATGCAGACAAAAACGTTTGGGAGGTTTATCAGGAAGTCTCCAAGTCCAACACACTCTCTGAGACTGTCCCTTGAGTACTGTCCCTCTGCAGCAAGGTTTAGCTTGCTGACCAGGGTGCCTTGGGCTCATCTGGTATAAGAATCTGGCCAAATAACTCTGCAAGGAAGCTGGCTAGGCTCTTACCTTGTTATGCAGGGGGCTGAGAAGGATTTTATAGTGGAGTTCTGACCTCCTGAGTGTCCCTTACAAACCAGTGAGACCAGTTTTACCACCTCACACCAAGCTAATTTTGAAAGGGGAAATAAAATGCTATTTTTTCCTCTGTGATCTTCCTCCCCCCACCCTCCCCACTCCACCCTGAAGTGGCTGTGCTCCAGGAGGGAGAAATCTCTTCAAGAGCTGATTTTGACCATGGGGGGAAAGTCCTTTGGGAAAGTGCTATAAAAGCTAGCTGTTGCCTTTTACAGACCTTTTCTCCCTGCTTCAGGCAAAACACAGGGAAGCTGGGTGCGCCATGCCTGCTGGCTCTTAGCCCAGCCTGCCTGGCAAAAAGCCCATAACCATCCCACAGCACAAACCCATTGCTTTGAATTTATTTTGTTTTTTGCACAGTCCTGAGCTGGGCAGAGATGTGAGACAGGTGCTCCCCGCCCCTACTGCCCGCTCTAAAGGTTACACACTTCTGACCTGTATGTTGTTTACATGGGAACACCAAAGCTGTCTCTGCCCAAGCTGCTGTGCATGGTACAGGAAGATGAGGTAAAAGCAGCACAAAGGGACTGGAGCTACCTCTGGTTCCCAATCCAGCATGGCTTTGGCACAGTTGTAGATCCTGGAGCACAGCAGACTTTTGATGAAGTTGCAAATATTCAAAACAGGTCCTTGGTCTCGTTTCCAGCAAGAGAGAACCCAGAGGGGTTTAGAGGGGCCCCAGGAGAAGGGCATGGCTTGTAGGGGCAGGGGCCAGCACTGCTCTTGATGCCAGGGAGCTGACTGCTGTCCCAGTGCTGGGGCTACAAGTCAGAGTCACAAGGTGGGCTCCTCCCCCAGCGCTGTCCATCCTTCTCATCCTCCAGCACGTCCCAGGGATTGTTGTAAGCTCTACTGAAGCCCGAGCCAGCCTCTGTCACAGGGGTGGGGGGCAATTTGGGAGCTCTGCGCTCCTTACAGCAGTGATGGAAGCTGAGGGTGAGGGCCAGCCCCCCCAGGATTTCCAGACAGCTTCCCAAATAGCTCAGTACCAAGCTGTAGCCTACGGTTAGCGTGCTGCCAGGTGGGGCAGGCAGTGCCCACAGCTCCTGGGTGTACCAGGAGCTGGGCACGAGGCTCATCAGCCCGGAGAGGAGCAGCACCAGCCCTGCCACGCCGGCCACCAGGTGCCGGGGCTCGGGCTGCCAGCAGCGAACACCCAGGGCAGCCACCACCAAGCCCACCAGGGTGACCACGAGCGAGGAGGGCATCAGCCCTTGGGCCACCCGCACGGGCACCTGCTCAAAGTAGCCCAGCTCGTCGGCCTGCCCGCAGAGGCGGTCGTGGGTGCTCTGCCGCTCCCTGCATATGTCCCAGATGCCCTGCTCCCAAATGACGTCCATGGGCTGGTCAGGTATGAGGCTCACCTGCCTCCAGCTGGGTGCCAGCGTGCCCGTGAGTGTCAGCAGGAGCCCGCAGGGGCACAGCACCAGCCCCACGATCATCTCCGCCGGCGTCCGCATGCTGGGGACGGGGGTGAAGCGGGATCCGGAGGGCTTCTGCTCGCCCGAGGTCCGCGGGAGCGCCGGGGCTCGCTGGACAGGAGCTGTGGCACCGGTGCGGGCAGGGCGGGGGTCCCGCGGCCGTGCCGGAGCCCCCTCAGGCCGTGCCGGAGCCCTGAGGCGGGCAGCCCGCGGAGCCGCCCCAGCCCTGCCCGGGCCGGGCCTGGGGAGGTGCGGACAGGAGGCGGTGCCGGCGGGCGGGGCCCGGCCTGGGCAGGGCTGGCCGGCACCTGCGGCGGGGACAGCGCCCTGCAGGGCTGGGGAGTCCGCGGGGAGCGCCGCAGCTCCGGCCCCGCTGTCCCCTCGCAGGTGGCGGGATGGGGGCCGTGCTCGGGCCGCTGGGGCGGCGTAGGACCCTGTTACAGCTCCCTCCGTTAGCTGCATGCCAGCTTATTTTGCTATCAAATTAGCTAACTAATTAATTAAAATAACTAGGATGAAATGCTGGCAGATCTCACATTTGGTAACTGGCCCAATAGACCTCCCCATCTCCCTGTCCTTCAGGGAGAGCTCCTGAGCTTGGCCCTGCTCCTCCCGTCCCACGCTGCGCTCAGAGGGCACCCGCAGCAGCCTGGCTCTGGGCAGGAAGAGTCTCTGGGATGTCCACTGAGACTGGTACGGGAAATCACCACATTTGAGAACGCCAGTGCGGGATTTTGAGCCCCAAAAAGCACTCGTCTTGGGCCTCGCCAAATGTCCCTGAGTTTCTGCCGGTCACACTGAGCCCAGGAGAGGGCAGCATGCTCTGTGGATGGATTTGGGATGAGCAACGCCGGCTGAGCTGGAAGGCTGGCTCTGTGTGCGCCCCACGGCGCCTTTGCGCTGCTGGTCGCTGGCCTTGGAGGGAGGAAGGAAGGAAAGCCTTCCGTCCGGAGGGCTGCGTGGGGCTGTGCTGGACCAGCTGCCCCCGCCTCCCTTTCCCACTCCTCCGTCCCACAGCTATTTCCCGAAGTCCTGAAGCCCTTCAGCTCTCTGGGTGCCAGATCATTTTGAGGAGGGATTTTGAAGTTGTTGAACTCTGGATCTTAGTCCAGCTGGAAGGCAGGGGTGGGTTGGACTCAGGCAAGGGCTCATGTCTCCAGCCACGTCTACAGAGCAGCCAGATGAGCATAGCTCCAGAACAGGAACACCTGGCTTTGTGGTATGTAGGCAGTAGCTTGCTAAAACTTGGCACTCCTCATCTGGGAAACCAAGCTAGGGGTTACTGTTTCCTTTCCTGTCCAATTAACTTCTGTAACTTTTACCCTACTCCAGCCACTGTCTCTGTGCCAAGGCACTCACTACTGCCCTGGGAGCTGTGGGTCCAACCAACACACCAAATGCTGCTGGCCTGATGTGTTTCCCGAGTCTGCATTCTGCTATGGGATCCCTGCACAGGAACAGGTGCTGCAAGCCTGAAACCTTATATTCCTGACTCTCTCGTGAGCTGTATCTGGACACCTTTCCATCTGGACACCAAGTGGAGGTTGGCTGTGAAATGTAGTGCTCCTGGAGGAGAGGGGGGCAGAGGGAAAGGGCTGGTAGCAAGCTGGGTGGCACAGTGCCATGGATGAGTGCCTATCAGTACCCTTTGCCTCCTGCCTGCTCAGGAGGCTTTTACCAAGGTGACAAATCACAGCTTGGTGGCAGTGCTGTCAGGTGTAGCAGTGGTTGCCCATGGACCATCCAAGCCAAGCTGTGAGCAGATGATAGCAAGCCCTGAGTCCTGCATGGCTGACCAGGACTTTTCTACCCATCCCAGAAGTGTGGGTAGGCATGTGCCAACCCTGATGGAAAGGGGGAATTCTCCATTTTGTTGGATTTGCCCACATTTTACCCAGAAAGGCTAAGAAACCTAGAGGGTAATGCCCACTCTAGGCTTTGCAATGCCTGCCCTAGGATCCATCTCTTGCAGCACCTTTCTTTTTCTCTTATCTGTTCCTCCAGTAGTGCTGTGCCCCTCTTGCCCTTGCTCATGCAGGCTGGAGTCTGGGAGGTGGCCAATCCTTGAATCTGCAGCTGCAGCAGAAGCTGGATCCCAGGAATATCACAATTATGCACCAGGGCAGGTTTAAAAACCTGGGCCTTTCCAATTTATTAGTAATGCCCAGGAGGGTGCATTCTGCCCTTTGGGCTGATGCCCAGGCTCCTGGCTGTGGGACAATGATAAGCAGATTAGGTGATGTGGCCCTGATGCTGGATGGCCTGCCCTGAGTAAGCCTGGGGAAGGAAATGGGATTAACAGAGCTGTTTCCCGTTGCCACAAAGTTATAGATTGTTCATTTCTTCTCTTTTACTTTCTAATGAGGTGGTATGAAAAGAAATTCAAAGAAGTGCCTGGCCCTTTCCAAGCTCTGGGGAATCATTTAAAGTCATCTGGCCTCAGAGATAAAATGGTCTGGCTGAAACTGCTTTCCTTCCCACATTGCCCCAGCTACTGAGTGGGAAAAGCCACCTTACTTGGTGTTTCCTACTTCTCCAAGGCTGTGACTTAGTTTTTTCCTATGCTGTCACAGCCATCTCTTTAAGAACATGATGGAAACTTTATCCAGGCTTGGTTGACTTGGCTTGCATTTTATTACTATTTTTTAATACCCCGTTGTAAATTGGAAGAGCAGCAGAAGGCCTTGAGCTAATTGGACCTGGAAAAGCTCTAGGGTAGGATAGTCAGAACTTGATTCCAAGGAAAAAATATTTTTTTTTAAATTCCATGATGTGGTATTTAGTGTTGAGTGGCTTCTTCCAGCCTCAGATAGCCTGCATCACTGAAGGCTGGGAATGAATTCAGGGCACTATTCCTGTGTTCAACTTCTTCCCTGCCTCTCTAGCTATCTGCTTCCAGCCACTGGTGGTGATGGCACCCCAGACTGGAAAGTACTGGTGTCTCTTAGGTGACAGTGTGAGGTCATTGTGGATAGGACCAGTAGATTTTGGGTTACCCCATTGTCACACCAGCTGAGCAGGATTTGCCTGATGTCAGAAACGGCCAAAGAGCACATGCACACAACAATCTCCACAGCTTCCTCTGTAATTTGTAGTCTGATCAGACTTCTAGGCCCAACTGAGCTTTCAAAATGTGGCTCTGGAGAGAAGAGCTTTCCTGCACAAAGTTAGCACTGCCCCTCCATTGTTGGCACTGAGACTTGGGGACAGGGGGGTCATTTTCAAGGAGGTTACTCTGACTGCCTTCCTCAGCAGCAGCAGGATCTCTCAGCATCCTGTTTGCTGTGTGGGGAACAGTTGGGGCCAGGGCTGTTTAGCAGGAGCCTGCAGCTGGTAATTCCTGTTTACAATCCACTGACCCTGGGGCTTTGCCTGTGTCACATATGGCAAGATGCCCCACACCACCACAGATCCTGCGTGTCCTGCAAGTTACACTGTACCTGATTCCTTCTTGGGCTCAAAGTAGGCTTGGCCCATGCTGGACACCAAGCCACGAGACTGCCAGGTCTGTGGACATGCGCTGTGCCACCCTGGGTTGCTCTGTGATGGCAGGTAGCCAGCAGGCACAATAGCTGCCCCTGGCTGTGTATCATTTATCCTCTCTCTCACCTGAGGAGGATTCGCTTTGCAGAGTGTGGCAGTCGCCTGTGTCTTGCCTGATGTAGGAGATGGGAACTGGCTGAGAACAGTGCCTGTGCAGGCAGGACCTGCACTTAGGGGGCTGCAATTTCCTCTGGTCTACACACTTGTATAGCTCCACTATCCATCTGTGTTTACCTTTCAGTTTAAACCCTAAATCCCTGCAGGCTGGGATCAAAGCACGATGGCTCAAACAGTCCATGCTGTGCTTTTAGCATTAGACCTGGTTGTCTAAGCCTCTCCTCAGTCTCCATCCCAAAGCAAAATTTCCTTAGCCAGGTGTCCACGTTGAATTATTTTGTTCTTTTTTTGCTACTTTCAATTTTGCTACATTATATAGCAAATACATTCAATTTTGCTACTTTTTCCTCTAGCATTTCACATGGGGCCATTTCTAGGAGTGCAAACTGAAGATTCTCCTTGCTCTCAAGCCATGGCCCCTGCAGCATGTGATTGCAACTGGAACACGCTCTGCATTGTGCTAACAGCTGCAGTTGCAATGGGCTTCTCCCAGCCCAGCTCCCAGCTTCCTCCCTGGACACACACACTGCTGTCTTTGTGCCTGCTGGGAGGCCAAGGATGAGCCCCAAGCAGGACAAGCTCTGTGATCCCCCTGGCTGGTTGAATGTGGAAGAGAGATCTGTGTGTGCTCCCCAGAGCTCCCAGCAGGCAGCTCCATGCCCCAGCTATCCAGCCTTTGTGGTGGCACTTCCACGAGCAGATTTATCAGCCTTCCACTTGCCCATTGACCTGCCCCCCTTCCAGGCTGGCCATAGTGGTAGCAGCAGCCCTGAGGATGCACTCCAGAGAGGTAATCTGAGAGCAGGGATGTGTTGGGCATTGAAGGGCTTGCAAACACCCATACTGGCGGGTCTCACCCAGCAGTGGCTTAACATATCCAGCCCTGTGGCCATTGCAGTTTTGGCTGTTCCCCCTGCTCAAAATTTGGTGTGAGGGAGCTGCAGTTTGGGGTGAGCATCCTGTACCGCCTGCAGGGAACAGTAAATCCATCAGTGAGCACTGAGGCTGTTCCTGCTCTCTTTCTGCAGCCCAGCTGCGAGTCTGAGCACTATTCAGCCTGGATGCTGGGAATGAGCTGTTGAAAGCCTTATTAGATGCCCCCCAGGTATTCACTCATCCGTTAACCTTGCTCACTTTCTAAACTGCTGCACTTGGACTTGCCAGATTGCCCAGTGCTGCTTTCAGTTCCGAGAATGATACAAAAAGCATTTTTGTAGCTATATCTATTTTTGTCTGACTCAGTCCTGAAGTGTTTGGGAGTAGTTTAGACACGAAGCTCTTGTGCTGGGTTTTGGAGGTGCAGCCCTTTTCAGACAGGAGTAAGAGAGCAGTTAAACCTGTGTCTGGCTGCAGAAACTGCATGTTTGTCCGGTTCCTGG